AACTTTCATGGAGAAGATCACTTGTCGGGAATGCTTATTCAAACTTAACACCGCAAACCATGACAGTTATCAAAATGGCAGTAAGTACGGAATCAAGTTGATCTGCTTCAACCTGTATATCGGTTTCAGACCTACGACGTGTACCACAACCGGGGCGGTTCAAAGTGGTGTGCTGTGCAAGCATCCGTGGCAAACTTATTGGGGACGCCTACCCGAATTGATGTACGTCTGTTAATGTGGCGGGATGGTGCATTAACAGTATAAACAGCAATCAGTATCACCAACGACCGGTAAATCTGGGTCGACTGAACAGCACCTATCCACTTTAAGAGTTTTAATAGTGAGGACAAGAAAATCTTGTGCTCGGCTGGGAGGAGGCAGATTCCTCAAAAGGTGATTTCAACTAAACTTGTGTTACTGACGAAGTTGCATTCACTCTGCTCTCGTTATGCTATCAATGATGAATCACCACACTGTAAATACGGTTAGAATAGATCATTTCAAGAAACTCAACAGTTCACTGAGAGACCGTATGACAACCTCGACAGTGTCATCAGTAAGTTGGATTAACGTTCTATGGTCTTTGGACTTTAAGTTCTTTTTTTAAGATACGATCTAAGGGAAGTCGTATGAGTGGCAAAGTTCACTTCGTCCCTGGGCACTCACAGAGATTTTAGTAAGTCTCCTAACAGTCCCGTGGGACGTTTCAAAAAGCTGAATATATATATGCAAAGTTCTTACGAGCCTTGATATTTGCCCCTCATTAGTCCACAGGTAGACTTGCACCTACAGTTAACAGTCATGTGACTTTCAGAAAACTTTTCATACACGCACTGCAGTCTCTATATTAAGATTACATCGTGGAATTCTTGAAATTACCATTTTGTGCTTGAGTATAAGACATCGCTCTAGATGAAACAGTTGCTCTGCCTGTACACCAAAGAAACTCTATCATGAAGCTCAATTTTCCTTATACTTTTCGATGCATCATCGAGGGGGGTTGAGAGCTAGTGTGATTGTATTCCAAGTGTTTTCTCATTTTTCATTCGGAACACGACATTATACATTTTGATAATATAGTGAAAGTGGAATCACCGTCTTTTTACGGTGGGTATGAAGAAGACAAGCTACTACAACCGGCTGCTTGTGGTTATTCAAGTGGATAATTCTGCCATGCTTCGATTCTGGTGGAGATGTCCTCCAGCATAAGCAAAGTGTGTGGTGTGATCGAAGTTCATTACTTACTATACTTTATTCCGTCTGCTTATTCACGCGGACATGCTGGGACAAACTCTGCAATCAAGGTCTCCGGGTTTCTGCCTTTAACAATTCTATTAGTTCTACAAATTGCAATGGGCTTTTTGCCGACCATGGTATAAGATCAGTTAATTCGAATTAATTGAGATATATCGTTCATGTCAGCGGTCAGTTACGTGGACGCTTAACATTTGCATCCCCACATAGTGTTATTTAACCCACCAATGCCATTTCTGAATGATGGTACACAGGGAACTTAAAGGCGCCAGTTTACGAACCCCGAACGGTGTGTGCAAAATTTGGAGCACTACTTTTAAATGCTGAAGCGCTCCAATCTCGAATTTCTAAGGCGGAATATATCCACTGTAGCAGTGTCCATAAGGTTGGGGAAAACCCTATTTCTCCACAGTGCTTGCACTGTCCTTGTTGTAATCAATAAACGTACGGTACATAATACCGTGAATTATTGCAGCATGGAAGTCAGTGCCCGAAAGCTCCACTGAGAATAGAGCAAATACCTGCCAACTTGTGCGCTAAACTGGATAAGTTAGGCAACCCCTCTAACAAGCGTCACCAAAGACCGTATTGGGCAGGAATTTACAGTAGACAGCCAATCCTCATCAAGCTGAACTGAATGAAAATTCGAAAACAGGAAATGATTTTTTGTTCTCCGTCAGATAATTGAATAATGCGATACGTTACGTTGCACTGATGACACATAGTGCCTTAAGTTATTGGAATAATATGGTGGTTTAGAATATTGGGTGGAAAACAATGATAGCCTCTTTCAGCCAGTTTTATTATGTGTCTATTTCAAACAGTTTGATTTACTTTGGTTAGTTGGGCAAACCGAATCACAGAATGGTGTATGTGTGTCCCCCAATGAAGATCTCCGTTTGGCCACCTCCTGCAACGTTACTCAGCTAACTGAACCCGGAGCCCTGATAGAGCCACTTTGGCTAGATACATAGTGATATGAGTCAATCGACTCCATCGGCTGAATAACTGTTGGGGATGTCAGTATCCCCAAAAACTGCTTATTTTCCGAATTATTGCCAGTTTATTTTCAAAAACTTTCGTTGCTCCCACTGTAATTCGCCTTTGGTTGAGGCAGTAAAAGCCCTCTTCTGAAGGTCTGGTCTTCTTCTCTGTCTGCACTAGGAGTGGTTGGGCTCGCGTCATAGCTGGGGAGTTGTGCGCTCGTTCTCAGGTCGCGTATATCCGTTGATCGTACCCGATTCCGATACATATCACTAACCGGCCACCTCACCTTTCTAACCAGCCCCTAACAGTAAATGAGAAATGAGCCTGGCATCGCGTATTCTGCACAAGTGTCGCCATCAAAATTGACAGCAAGACCAGATGAAAGCTCCGGTGCTTCACTGCCGCAAAATTGCAGCTAGTGGCAATGGACCGCTAACGGATCTTCAAGTCTTTATGAATGAACATGCGGAAATGTCTTTAGAAACGGGATAATGCGAAAATTAGTGAATTTTAGAGAGAAAGGACAGGGTCTGAAGAACGGTGAAGGTCCTAAATCAAAGTTTGTTGCTCAAAAACCAAGCCTCAGGGCAGCTATGATTAGCGTAAGAATATCATAGTAGCCTACATTTTTAAGGAACAAGTCCAATGTCCAAAGTGGCGAATCAGGAGACTGTTACTCAGACCTCTAACCATTGAACAACCTGGTACGGGCGGCTTTGTAAGTGTCAGACGTGTGGTTCAATGGGTTATACAATCATCATCATCATCATCATCATCATCATCATCATCACCATCATCATCATCAAAGACAGCAAAGTCAGTATTGCCACTAATGCTTCACTGCCGTACAAGTGCACAATCGGTCGCAAACCACGAAAACAAAATCAAATTTCCCCTCCACATGACACAGTCCAGCATTAGTCAGATTTTTTCTTTCAGGAAACAGGATGTAGGTACTGACTTTTGATAAAACCTGACCCACAGAAATATCCAGCACAAAGTGGTCAGAACTCATATCCACTCATTCTTTTTCAATACTTCCGCCAAGACTGACGCTACCAGATCGTCACCTGCCAGAGTGGTCGAAGGCAGAACAATATTCATGAGTTCTAGGATACCGTTCATTTTCACTGATGTAGAGCCCATTTCATGAGAAGGAGTTTCGGTCATTTGGTCATTTCGAACAATGTAGCTGATATTCTCAACGGTGAAGATATTAGCATTCCCATCTCGAACCTTACAAAACTCCTGATAATGTTCAGTTTAATTCCACCGATCAAATTTATTAACAGCAGGGGGTCGCAATGGGGTCTCCTCGAGTTCCCATATTGGCAGGTTTCAAAAATTAGATGCACTCATTGGACGGTTAACATTATATCGCCGCTACGTAGACGACATATTCGTTCTCGCCGATGAAACCATCAGCACAACAGACGTACTAAGCAGTTTCAATTCAGTCCACGCTAATATCAAGGTTACTATCGAATCAGAACAAAACGGGCAGTCAAGCTTCCTCGATGTCAATGTTAAAAAGAAGACCGACGGGACCATAGAACGCAAGGTCCATAGAAAGCAAACTTGGAAACGTCAGATAATTCACTTCCATAGCTCCGTTCCGTTGCAACAAATCGTAATCTAATTAGATAGCTGAATGACACAGCAATAAAGATATGTTCCACAGACTGTTGCTCAAACGATTAATAGAAGACTTCCAAACTCTGTTGATACGACATACTTGGTTGCTAATCTGTGTTTGAGCTTCAACTCCAGCCCCACTATCGGTTTCCACCTGAAGGACAAATTACCACGTTCTACCACCAGCTTTTGCGTGTATTCACTTGTATGACGAGCATGATATGCTGGTCGTACGACAAGGCGTTTGTCGGACAGAATGCAAGAACACAGTCCGGTGTTTCTGAGTGGCAGCTGGAAGAAACCAGGCTCAATTGCGATTGCATCACATTCTGCTGAAACAGGTCATCGACAAACAGCAAGCCTCCTCCATCGTATACCAGGTACCCCTGGAACGATCACGACTAGTACGATCCAGGCTAATATCGATCACAGAGGCGATTGGAATCCGACTGCTGGATCTACAATTTTGCGTCTAATAGAAACTTGTGCGACCTCTGAACTTGAACTGGCCTGCGAAATATTCAGTCCCACAAGCCTGTCTGACATTGACGTCACTTAGCTGATTCCGTGACCCATTGACCTGCACCTTATTCAAACCCCCTTCCTTTGATTTATATTTCTACAACGTGTATGTACCACCGATGTTAACTTTTTCACGTGATTTCTGTTACCATATAAATTAATGGTGTATTAACCAAGAGGAACAATAACAGAAAACAAGCTTTTTTCGTTCCCTTTATTGTTCTCATGACAATTGGCGGATTGCTCTCTGACTCTTACGCTAAGCAGAACGGGTAGACAATAAACCATCTGTTTAAACGGATCTGGGGACGTCGTCCGTACCACAATCGGTGTTCAACAACTGCCATCCTATCCCATTTTGTTGGACCCATCACCATCCTATCTGATGCACCGGGTCTCAGGTCCCAGAATAACGGTCTATCGATCGAATTCCGCCACATCTGCAACTGTTTTGAGGTTCCTTGACCTTTGCTTTGTTTCATGCAAATTATACTTTGAAGGCGAGGCTCTAACATGAAAGACTTCGTTGGTCGGACGCACTGGCTTAAATCAAACAGCCAGCAGGCTTGCAAGCAAACCAAAATTATTAGTCAAGTGACAGCTATTCACCGTACAGTATGCGTTGTAAAAAGCGGTAGATGGAAAGCTGGAATTAAGCACGTCGTGCTTTCAAAATTCTCCATCCAGATTATTCATAAAGTTAGAAGGAAAGTTTTCAGGAGCTCGGTAGTCATAATGAAATGTGTCGGCAAATAACGGAGAAGAACGAAAGTAAACTAAACTCAATAAAACTGGGGGAAATGCTTATGTGTATGTGAATTTTAATGATGAAAATTGGGAATTCTCATGGGTGAAAATGAAACTTGATGGGATGACACTTAGAAGACCATGAAATCAGTCACTGCGATTGCGGATCTGCAGCTCTGAGTCCGTTAAATTGTAGCTCACCTCTTTTTCAGCTTGACGTCTTTGAGACTGTAGTTGGATGCGCTTTTTCTGTAATTTCATATTAGTAACCAGGGTTTTGGTATCGCGCCCCACAGTTGTCAGGTCCAAGATGACAATAAACCCGAGGAAGATAATGATGAGGATAAACATGATCGACGACACTTGCTTGGCAGATTTGGCTTCTTCTTTTGTCCCGTGGAAGCGTCCATCACTGCTAGCCGGGAGTTTTTCCGTTATTTCTATTAGAAAAACGCAAAACTCAAATGAATAGCCTAGTAAGGGTTTTCAGCTAGTTGGATATACGAAGCTACCCAAGAAATTCATTCTACATAAGCATATTAGCTTACTGAGTTAAGAATTGCAATGCGCTGTTACTTCCGACTTTCCAGTCAAGGTATCACTAACTTGCCAGTTCACTCCATTCGCATGGAATCTTTTGAAGTAAATCATCAGTCAGGATCAAGCATATATCACCTTTCACCATTCAGCATTATGCAAGTGGTGGAGTCATCAGACATTCAGTCCAACTTGTATGGAACACAAAAATTGATGGCAAATGTTGACGAAAATACGAGGGAACTTATCGTATCACCGAGAACACCAGCATCACAAGTTGATCATTGTGACACAACACCGGTGAAACTGGCTCATTGGACTTGTAGTTTTAAGAAGAGACAGCACTATGTTTGTATCACTCACATCAGATAAAAGGCAGAGATAACGACCACCACCAGGATAACTGAACGATTTCTCAACCTATAACTGTCATGAGCTAGTGTGGATGGGGTCTGAAAATGGAGAAGGAAGGAAGTACTTTCTTTTCATAAAGGAAACTACTCACAAGGTTGCTAAAAACTCCCTGACAGCCCAAAACCGGCTTCGCCCTTCTTGGGGCTCATCAGGTCGGAGCAGTCCTCTAGATTCAGTTGAGTCTCCCGTGAAAACCAGATTGATTTGCAAATGAGTGTATTGCTCAAAAACGGTCCAATATTGGGTTCCAGTAAAACATAAGGTTGATGAAAACTCGAGGACTGCGCTTACCCGATGAGCCCCAAGAAGGGCGAAACCGGTCGTGGGCTGTCGAAGAGTTTTCAGCAACCTTGTGAGTAGTTTCCTTTATGAAAAAAATATACTACGATATCTCGAATATCGTGCCAAGTGGAACATGAGGTGGCCTGTGCGCAGCACTTTCAGTTGTAGGATATCATAAACGAGAGATTCAGTTGAGTCTCTCGTGAAAGCCAAATTGATTTGCAAATGAGTGTAGTTCTCGAAGTACTTTCTTAATTACAGGAATAAGACCGAGCCACCACTTGTATTGCATTTCGCCTCCATGTGCACAACGGTACTGTCCGAAAATTACACATTAGAGGGAGAATACGTGGCTGAATTTAGGATGACGCGATTGTAGCTTGGAAACCTCAGTCACACCTCCCTATTGAGACACGCTAAACGGATGTAGGGGATTAGTAACATGACCTTATTTTCGGCCATGTCAAACTGATCTATTCAGTACCATACATCAGTGCTGAAAACCGGTCTCAATAACCGGTGACAAGAGTGACGACCAAGCAGTGCCACAGGCTCAATTGGAGTGAAGCTTTTTAAAAGCCCAACAGTGGCAAAGTTGGTGCAGCACCAAAAAGTTGATGGATGATTCGGCACGATGATGGTGGCAACCACCCATTCCACTGTTAATCTTAGGGGTAAAGGTTACGGATATCTATTCACGAAGCATCATTTTACTTGTATAAGGTTCGATTTACAATCCGAAAAATTATTATGATATATAAACCTTTGTTTTGTGTGTTACCGTTGCTAACCGATTGACACACAGTGTTTTCCGAAAATAGGCGTTCTTGTCCTCAGCTAGTCAGCGGTCCCTAATGAAGTTCGTGGAAGCCTACTGAAACATGTTTTTAGGAAAGGTCAATGAGTAAAAAATGGTGGAGCTAGAGTTCCAAAGGACACAGGTGTTTGAAATTCAAAACCCAGGGAAAGGTTTTGAAGATCAATAATGCCTCTAGTCTGACTGGGTCAACCGCTTTGGTGAAGTATACTGACAGTTATTAGGGGTTGATTCAGTTTGTCTTCAAGAGTTCCGAAATTCACGCTGTTGTACATCAGAATTCCAGTGACTAGTCTGTTAAACAGGTTCCCGGTCATAATCTTACTCTCTATTCATAGAAGGCTCATTCGGCAATCGTAATCAATCTTCTATCAACTTCCCTTCATTTCATGAGGCGGAATTAGCGTTGCCTCTTCGGAAGCATGTGGAATATCTTCGGCCTCCTAAATCGTGCATAACGGGTGCTGAAGTTCTTTACGCGAAATCGAACAGTTCCACAGGCTAGTCTCCTATTTCACGACTGGTTGACGACCATCAATAATTCGACAACTGAAGACAAATCAGCCGTTGTATCTTGAGGCAAGTCGGGTGTATTACTCAAACCGGCACCTTTTGGCTGTTGGAGTAAGTATTGAAGACTGGTGTTTCCGAAAGGTCAAAGTGTGTTCAGGCTGAAAAAATTCAGCTTTCGATCCGTCAGGCGAAAAGTTGGTTGGCGACTGACTGATGGTTTTTTGCTTCCCGCAGATATTCCAGAAGCTTGGTTGTGGAGCTTCTGAGTTTCTTCAGAGAAGCTGTAAATGTCGGAAATTGGATTGTTTTGCTGAACGAAAAATTGTTCTCTTGCATCAAAGTTGATATGGATGAGTTATTCTCATCAAGCCAATCTTGCCTTCGTTCGTGCGTTGGTCCACCTGTATCCAGTACAGTTGCCTGGGTTTCATTTTGTTCTCTGGACTACTGACTTCTTGCGCTCGCATCCTGGTTACTAGCCAGCTATACGCGAGAGTTTCAAAAAGTTTACCACAAAAAGGTTACCATTTGCTTGTTCGCAATAAGGTTGTGTTCCTTATTGGAGAGTCTTTTAAGAACATTAAGGTACTGGAGTGGGGACAGCAGTTAGTTACAACAGATTGGCAATGGGATGAGAACTGATTACCAATGTCGGACACAATAGTATCTAGGATACCGAATATTGAAATGAAATGGTGGGTTTTAAAATTGGCTGCACGTTCGGGAGCAGATAAAACGCTGCTTTCGCTTTCGATTGGCATTTAAAACTGTCACAGAAAATGCCACCGCATTTCTGTTGGAGTTTTAGAATCGCGATATCGACCGGGTTACTGGCCCCAGACACATGTTTAGGCCACCACACTTGCCTGATTCGCTCCACTCAATTCAACTTATAGAACGGCCTGCGTCAGAAATGCGCATTACCAAAGTGGGGAGCACCTACCTCAGCCATGAATATTCTAGAAGTTTCTAAGTTTGTCCTCGCTGTCAAATTTAAAACCAGATTCCTGGAATGCACCCTTAAAAATCACTAAATGATCCTCCGTAGGCCATTCAGTATACAGTATGCTTCGTACCGACATCATGTTAGTCTAATAATTATACGCCTTTAGTGCAGTGCGCTGCGAGTTGCTCTTTCCGTAGAGAGAAATCGAAACGAATTCATCTGCAGTATCGAGAACAAATCATTCTAAACAAATTTTTAGGCTGTTGCTGAAATAGCTCAGTGGTCTTCGAACTTACTGGTCACACATCTATTACTGCTTTTGGGCGGATCTTTCATGGAATTGGTGCTCATGAGAGACATCCAAGAAGTATAACACCTTGGAGAAGCAGCGAAAGAGTACTCAAGTGCAATAAACTCAGTTCAGCAGTGGAACCCGTGATGGTACTGAATATCCATTGCCCGGATGGTCAGTGAATGCTTGTTTTCGGCTCGACAATGCAGACCAATCATAATTATCTTGCTACGACATAGAAACAAGCGGAAAGTGCATTTGGGCGTCAAACAACAAGGAAGCGCCAAAAAACCTGAGTTGGCAGGACAGACTGAAGTCTATTGTGATGTACTGCGATACGCTTCATGGCTCGTGATTTGAGTATTCACGTTGTCTGAAGTTAAAAATCGCTCTACGGAACAGTTGACTAAGTAGATGAAAGTACCAGTGATCGTGGAAAATTGCAACGTCCGTTCCAGTACACACAAACGGCCTATGTGAGTATCTTTGAACAACAATGTGGTACACTGGCCGCAAGAATTCCGGAAATGAGTGCAAATATTTGTACCCCACCGAAGTTAATGGCCCAAAGCCTCGATGAGATTGTCCACCCATCGTAAATATATGTCAGTTCCTACAATATGTGAACGAAGTACTGATCCGAGAACAGAAGAGTTTTAATGAGGTAGGTGAGCAGTCGATACAAGCCTCACGTCTCATTTCACTGACTCAGACCTAACAACATTAGATGTATATTGGGAGCTCAAGCAAGAATTTAATCTCCACTGGGGATCTATTTCGCCTGGAAAGGCTGAAAATTCGTACGACCACACCGAGGCTCAGAGGGAATCAGGTTTGATCCCACTGATACAAAAACCGACGAAAGGTTTAATAGCCACACTAACATTAACTTACCAATACAGCCAATTAGTTGAGGTGTCCAGATACCACTGTTGCTGCACGTAATGTTCAGGTCGCTATTCTGATTCACTGTTTCGTATCCGGATTGACAGAAAAAGCGCAACTCGGCATTGAGCGCGTACGGTTTCCCTTCATGCTTCGTCAAATTCTTCCACACCCCGGTAGCGTTGTTGGCCATAAACTCGGATTCCATGTTATGCTCAGGCTTTAGTATGGCGTTTTCAAACATGCAGGTGGTCACTGAAGTGAGGGAATTTGAAAAATGAGAAACAACTAAGTGCACACAGCCATTCCGCAACGCTTATGTGTAAACTTTGTGGACCCATGAGCAATGGTCATGGGGCCCCAGATTCACGGAAAACGCCAGAAAGTACTGTTGCATAATGACATGTTTGAGGGACATATTCGTATGCCGATGCCTTTTGAAAAGTGCGTAAGCCAAAAGTAGAATAGGATTTCTGAATATGGGACATTTTTCTCTTGCCATTTTATGATACGAGCACGACTCATTATTGGGTACCTGCACAAGGCTCCATTACATGCTGTATTGCCATGAGACCGTGAGGCTCTGGCATTCGGAGTTCACACTAGGACGAGGTGATCGTCAATCTGACGATGAGGCCCGTTCAAACAAGCAAAATCTGAAGTGAAACTTACTGTGGATAGCGGTTTCTTGTGACTCTTGTTTTTTGCAATTAAATGGGCTAGGTCGATTTCACGTACCTGCGACCTGCTAGCAATGACCACTCAGTCCCTGAATTAGGGGTCTGAGTACTGACAGCTTATTGGGCCAAACCAACGTGAAAAAGTGGACAGGTGCCGTCTGAGACGGAACAGGGTAAAGTGTTGGGAAGCAGACTACCGATAAACGAAGTGTCCCATGGTTTTGATTCTGATCCAACAAGACATATATGGAACTAGAAAGAAGATTATTGCTAAGGTCAAATGGAGATTTGTGTGGACTGCTCCAAATCAACTGAGATTAACTCAAAGCATTCTATGAATGATGGAAGTGAATGGACTGCTTCCATGTTCAACACGTAACAAAATGAATCGTGTTACATTGTTCGGAACTCTAAATGGAATGTGATGTTCAGTGGTGAAGTTCAGTTCTGATGGGCTTTGGGGAAGAATGACACAAACAGAAACGACGGACGTTAATCGTCGAGCTTGTGTGCTGGTTCCATCGTGGCTTAGGATTTGATTTTCACAGCCAGAAAATTGTTAACTTTGAAAGAGCAATGCATAGCCGGTTCATTTGCCAGGGCACTAACTAACATTTCGTTTGCTGCGGTTCCATGACCAGTTGGGATTCATTGTCTTTTTCTAGAATGATGTGGCAACACATATTTTACGTCTGCAAAAAGTGGCTGAGGCTTCATAGGATTACGTTCACGGGCCACTTACAATACGGAATGAAATCGTTTACAAAAGATCTGTGGTATAACGACATGGTATGGTATGACATGCTTTTATTCAGGTGTCCTTCGGTAATAGGCAGAATCTGGTGTTGAAAATATGGAAAATAAAAATACCCAAACAATGTGTTTTAGTCATGACTCTTGGGGATAGTTGCATATTTTGACCATGTGGTTGTTTCGTTTATAGTAGCAATTCAAACCTTGCAACCACACTATTTGCCACGAATTTCTGCAACTGTATCCAATCTTGAAGCTGAACACGCGTGTTCCATAATATTGGCTTGAGGGGTCACCAAATCCCATCGTTCTCAACGGAGGGATATCCGGGTAACTCAGGAAAAATAGTAATTCATATACTATACACATTACGCTATACTATACAGTATACTATATATAGTATATATATGTATATATACTATATGCTATATATTATATGCTATACTATACACTACACTATATATATACCCCTTTAGTTTTCGTGAATGTAGATATGGGCACGAGTGAACCGTATAGACCGCACTTACACCACTTTGATATGGTTAGTTCAATAGCGCACGTGACCTGGGAGCTGGTAAGATATTGGACAAAGGTGACTATCACGAACGGTTAGTTTTATTGCTGCTTGACTTATAAAATGCAAAAGCGAAATACATATCTGACCATGTGCTGGACGAAAGGCGTTTCAGGGATGAAAAAACTTTGGAGATCCTGGATTGTGGACAGCAGGAGTATGAGTGGGAGATTTATTGATAACAAGGGAATTTAAATAAGAAAGTTTGAACGTTACAAGATCTTCAGTATGCATCCTTGGGATAGGAGAAGAAATGCACCCGAAATTCTTCAGAAATCAAAGGATATCATTGAACGAATTTTGTATGAGGCGTACGATCACTCACGGTGTATGTAAAGCTACCAGATATGTGAAGTCCAATCATAAAATCGGCGTACTTGTACTAATGGCCACCCTTAAATTCTACACTGCATGGCTATCGGCCTGCAGAGCAAATATATGTGGGACACTAAATGGTAAAAACAAAGTACCTGGGTAAAAAAAATGCACAGGCCACCTGGTCATGGTTGACTTAAAAAAGTGGCGATTGGACAGCCGGATCGTTTTGTTTGTTGCTTTGTCTCATCAACGTTTTTTAGTGTGATATACTCAGCTGCTCAGGAGACGTGTCTTGAACCACCAATGAATTACTGAAATAACTTGAAGATTGCTTATTTTACTTTTTTGCCATACCCTGAAGCAGACTTTCGAGAGGTGTCAATCACGAACTGATCGCAGACATCCTAAAAAGTTTGAGATCACCGATCACTTCACGAGGATACTTCTCACACGCACGAACACACCACTCAGTAGACCAACGAATGACGTGCAACAATATGAAGGTCACAGCTACAGGTTAGGCTCAATCAGTAAATTTTGACTTGATTTGGGGCCCAAAGAAGAGCTTTTGGTTGAAGACAATTTGTGAAGTGGCACAGAATCGACATTATCGATTTTTTCGCTGTGAAAATTTGTCGAGATGGACATACGGAACGTCTTTTCTGATAATGTACTGTAGTATACAAGACTATTTCCTCCTCGAGAAATGAGTTGCCTCCATGGACTACCTCTTATCTACTTCAGTGGGTAGTCCATAATTCCAGTAAAACTGGTGATTATAAGACTATAAAATAGCCGAAAAACGATCGCCATGTAGATACAGTCCCTCGTTTGTGGGTTTCAGTGTATTGAATTCTTTTTGAATCCAACTGATTGTCAGATGACCACTGTCAAATCTTACGGGCTCCGGCAAAAACGTGTTAAGCAACAAACAGTGAGACTGAAGTTCACAAATTCACACTTACACATCAGATGTGGCCAGGTCTAAAGGACGCGATCAACTAGGTCTTTCACCCTTATGACATGGAGGAAGCACAGGTGAGATCATCTAATTTAATCTTAAACGAGATGCAAATATCGGATGAACCATAACCAGAGGATGTCGCTTTTGATTACCGATCCCGTTTGTCTTTGATCCACAAAGTGTCCTGTTGTTACCTCACTGAGAGCATGATTTGAGAATTTTGGGTTGTGAAGCAATCTGAGGAGCTGTGTAGGTTTACATTACATGTACCGTTAATAATTTTAGCCGTCTGAAAGAACCTCACCGGTTGAGTGAACCGAAGGGCAATGCAAAGTGAGTTGCGGCACTCCCATTTAGGAACAGGATCATCAGACGGAATAATATATCGCTCTTTAGTTGTTCGTATGCGTGAACTTGTTAGATGTTCTGCACACGCTAGGATGATGGTTGGTTTAGGATCATCCTTAACAAGTTATTGACCCTGTCAAACCTTAAGTACTGGTCCAGAGATAGAAAAATTTACGTGACGCAGTTAAAAGATATCAACACCTATCGCCATGTAAGAGGCGTACGCCTGTCACCAGAAGTAAGGGGTTTTCAGAAGCATAATGGCGGTCCTCGCCCATCATATCTGTCCTATTTTTTCGGATGTTTGCCAACTGGTAACCAAAAATCACTTTTGGGAGGTTAGAGTGTAAATACCCATAGTAACTCTATCGTAACCCGTTAATTTCGTTTCCATTATGCAATGAAATGAGACAAGGCAAATTGTAATTTGCCCCTTCTGGCGGATTTCCGGACAGATTAGAGTTAAATCAGGGGCGGGTTTAACCCAATGAAATCCTGTGACCGATAAACTTCAGTTCGCCGAGACTACTTGTGCTGCAATACCTGTAGAGATTGATTTACTACATGTCCCAGGAGCCTCTCTGAGAAGTTGATCAGTACTGCCGATGTATAGACGTGCCCGTATCAACTCACGTGAACTTAAAAGCGATATGTGAAACGCAATGTTCTGTGGAACACTGTGTCGTAGGTTTTAACATATTCATCTAGGTTACAGGGACTTGATGCTTTATAGGTTCCTGTTGGACGCTGCTCCATGTATGGTAGCTATTCTGCTCCTCATTTGGTGGTCAGATTAGGTAAAGGGATGGGTTTGCTGTGTAAAGTGAACTATTTTCGGTAACCGGGTAATGAATAATGATCTTTGTTAATTACATTCTCCCTATTGGTAGTGTTCCCCGAAATTTCGGCCCAATTAGATCTCCGTTAAAATGTATCTGGCCTGTAGGCTATCTGGGAGAGCTACAAGGCATATTCTGACCACTACATTTAGTCTTGGGGTGCGCGGAAGCTCCTATCCGTTACTGGCTCATCAGTAGGCCGAGGAAGGCCAGACTGTCACTGGAATCAGTTTCGTGAGCTGCATAAAACTGACTTGAATACCATTCGAAAAAACAACGATCGAGAATGAAAATCAGGTAAAGTGATGGACTCGAAACATCAACACAAACCTGACCCTTTATCACTGCAAGAGAAGCTACTGGCCAGAGTCAAGCTTAAAAATACTACCCACTTGCCTATAAGCGGTTTCTTCAGGTTCAAAACGAATACTTCCTGTACAGAACCAAGTATGACCATTAAATATGTGTTAGTCGTGGTGATGGGGTCACCTAAATAGCAAACTTCATCACTGACCAAAGAGCCTGCAATTCAGAGGTTTACTACGAAGTAACCCGCATAAACTGAAGAAGTTTTCCAAACAATATGGAATTTAACTCTTCCAGATGGGGTCCAAAGTGTCCACTGACCACCAGGCAAGTACGTAGATTAAAGTTGGCTCCATTCCTAGACCGGGTCTCAGGACACTCCTTAACTCAGCATTTTCGGGTTCCCGGCCTTCTAGGAAGTCTCCATCTAAATTTCTCAACACATCACGGTCTCATCAATCGTGTAGAAGGCAGGAATAACTACACACTTCTGCAACTCTACGGCTCCTCAACTGTTTTTATTTTCTGATAGGGTTCAAATCCCGAATAGGAGCGACATTGTCGACAAATGACTATTATGTTTATTGACCGCGATATTGCGAAGTATGAGGTATGTTTGGACCCGAAATTCCAATCAGAATCACCAAAAATAACAACAGAATTATTGTTTGACATCATCACGTGCAAGTCTGTCACTAACCTTCATCTCTTCTTGTTTAGAGAGTAATGAAATGACTTCTGACACTAAATACACAGGTAGATGTCTGCTGCACTTCCACCAGGACATTCCAAATCAAACATCGTCCCACCACCAAATATATCCTTTTATCCTTTGGATTTCCAAGAGAGGTGGCAGTTCGTCCAGTCCAGATTCTGGAGCTAATAGATTGTGTCCAAAACAGAAATTCTTTTGCCTTCACAAAATCTCATTTCGAGGTAGGCCAGTGTGACGTTTAAACTCCCTGATACCCATGTGCATTTTGAGGTACTTTCCAGCCTCACTACAAGCGTTGTCTAATTAGATAGCTTCCTCCGATAGTTTCCCCTGACTACGGTCGGACGTTTTAGGTAATATCCAAAAGGACTGCAAAAAAGTATCGATCGTTTTTGGTCCAAAAGGAAGACACTACGTCCACGATATACCCATGGACTGTTTTGTCCAGAATAAGCTGTCGCTTATAACATATCGGATGATATCCTAGCTGGGATGCATAATTATTCCCAACATTTCAAAAAGTTCATTATTTATATTAGTTTAAGTTGATTTATTTCGAGTTTGAGCACTATGAGATGGAGGAGGGGTAGACATTCAGAAAAAAGGTGTGACTGTAACACCATCGTGTACTTCGTAAAAACAACATAGTCCAGTATTTGGCCAAGCACAATGACTAGCTAAATGCGCTGTGTGGCTGCAGATACAAAGTCAAACTGTTTCGGCTTTGTACCTGTGATGAGTCATGTACAAAGTGGGCCAACAGTTGGATGAAAGTACATTGCGAGACGTGATACTCACCTTCACACTCATCAGGCAAGGGTAGAACAGTGCCGGAATAGCCGAAATATTGTCCCTCTGTTTCTGATCCTTTTTTTAAGCCGCAAAATACCTCTTTCTCAACGACCCTGTCTGGAAAAAGGTAACCGGGCATACACCGAACGGTGATCACGTTTCCGAAGTAGTTGAATTCATTGACTTGTTGAGGCCCGTAAGCTTTGTCGGTCCCATAGTTTCTCGCGCTAGCAAGAAGTGCGTTTTTAGGCTTCATGTTTTGCAATTCCGTTTCACTGCACCTGACAGCTGAAAGAAGAAAAAACGCACGGGCTTCATTTTCGTCATCGATATTGCTCCGTTATTTCACAGGATCGGAGCGAATTGGGTCGATACCCCACTGTGGTACACCTGAAGGAAAAGGTCTACATGAACTTCAAAGTGATGGTTAATGAAAAATGATATCCCTATAAGGCACCCATCACCCTGTAAAACCTTAGTGCGCGCTGAAAATTTTTTGACTGCAACAGATACGCAAAGATGGAAATTCACCATCCTGCGGTTGACTAGTGAACAAATTCGCTACAGCCGAACGCAGTGTTTTTTTTCTCAGAAAGCCGCGGTTGATGCAACATCGTTCGCCTTCAAAGATGTGAGGGGCAGTGAGGCTCCGGAAGATTGTTGGTCGCACTTGTGCCTAAGGGTGTTAATTGAATATGGCGTTTTATAATTAGTGGTTAGTATTGAACTCAACATCTCTGTCATGGACACCTTACAAAATAATGAGAGCCGGTAAAACTTACACAAAATACTTCTTTAAGAGGGACTACTTTACAGTGGATTTCGCAGGGCGCGGAAAGTGTCAGATTTTTAAAGCATTCCCTGATTCCAGGTGGATGGCACTCCCTTCTTCATCGACAAAACAAGGCACGATTTCAGTCATTGGAAACGGGAAGTTCCATGATTATAAGTGCATTTTGCAAGGCAAGAAAATCTCCACAAGTTTTATTGGCCACACGAGACGTTCTCTACTCTAACTACTTTGCCGTGAGTGAACTGCTTTTTCTGTTTGAGACCAGTCGTTTTACATTTGTGGCTGACGAATGTAACAGGGGAGCTTACATCTCGATGCTTGTTTCTCCGCTTTTCTCTTCGAATTCCGGATGGCATGAAGACTGAAATACAGACATAGCTACACAATTTGCCCGAATCAAAAGTTAAAAATGCTGTCACAACTCAACAACTACTGAGCTAGATTTCACATTACAATTAATATTATTTATCTTAGCTTCTCCATTCATCTACTTCTTTGGTGGCAGTCGCCCTGAAGGGGTTGCGTATCGTAAGTTGTTCACACGCCGACCTGGCCCAGTGGTTAAGGCGCGAAGCTACTGATCAGATGGTCCGTGGCTTGGATATGACCGTGTTTTCTCAATTCTACCCGTCAAGGGTTGGGGATAGCCTAGCACTCGTGCCTCTCTTGGAAACCATACACAAAAAGTGTGTCACAGCTTTCATTCGGACATCAATTACCGGTCTTAATTGATCATTTGTCGAACACCAGAAGAAAGAACGTATAAGAAAGTGACCTTTCAAATATGCCTAAATCCCAATACAACCATAGTTGATCACTGTATGACGGAAGTCCGCATAGGATATTAGTCCTCTGGAATATGATTCAAGGTTGTATTGAAAAGCACTGTCACAGTCTATGATGAAAACGAATAACAGAAATGATGCTATCTATCAGAGTAATCACAAAAATTTAGTAGGTTTATGTAATTGGTCGGCGCTTCCTATGTACCGATGCGTCGCTTGTTCTAAGTTTAATTTGCAGGTTGATGATGGTCCCGATAGATAGGCGTCAGAAAACGAGTTCTATACAAAAATACGCACAAATTACGCGCGAAGGGAAACCGCCTACCCAATCGAGTAATCAAAGTTCTCGGTGCACATTCGGAAAAATTCTGACTTTTTGGACAAACTCAATCAGGGAGCTTTCAGAGAATCGCATTTATTCTTTACAAGAACAAAGAACAAGCCGTTAGGAAAATAGGGTATACAAACTAGTCTAGGTTACAGGCTCACTTCCAATGAAATATTGTATCACGCAACTGAACACAGAGGTAAAACAAGATTCAATGTACACAAACATCTGTGATTCGCAATGTGTTTTGGGGGTGGGAATGTCTGGATCGGGATGAAAGCGGATGTCGTATGGCCAGAAACTCAGCAACAACAGTCCTTCAATGGAGTTGCATCTCTAAATATGCTTCGGTGACTTTTGTCAAAGATAACGGCTCTTCTCGGGGTAGGACTATACATCTATGAACCTCACAAGGTTTTTCGGCAAAAATAGTAGCTGCTTTCAGCCAGCTCCAGACCCAGGTGGGGACTGCTTTAATATGACGATCGACTAAGTTTGCAAGCCTATCTAGAATTGGTCATACAGTGAAAGTTAGACCTCCGTTGCCAGATATTATATATATATATATATATATATATAT